TTCCGCCCGAGAATGAACTGAGGCCAGCAGAGTTCAAGTCTCCCCCAGAATCTCCCCCTGGGAGTGGGCAGGGAGCTCCTTCATGCTCCGTCTTTTCAGGCCCTGCCCGCTGCCCTGGTCCACACCTGCTTTTTCCAGCACTGCAGGGCAATGGAGGGGCCCTTCCCACTCTCCTGCGGGCTCCGCCTTAGCGGCAGCCTCTGCGGTGCGTGACCCGGCTGTCTCACCACGCGCCCTCTCCACCCAGCCGCACACTTATTCACTGTGATTCTCCGAGCACCTGTCAAATATTAGACCCCGAACCAGGCGCCCTCCTAGGTCACCTCCTTCAACCCTCCCGGTCCTTGACCAGGCATTCTTGCCCATCGCCTGTTCACAGGTGAGCAAAGTGAGGCTCAGCTCCGATAAGTTCCTGTCCACTGGGGCCCAATGTACAAATGGCAGAGCCCACAGCAAACCCACGTCTTTTAACTCAAATCCATCTCTCGTCCTTACAAAATCATGAGATATAAGAAACATACTGCACTCTGCAACTGAAGCGCCTGAGAAGGCTGAGGGGCTGGACCTGGGGAAGCTGGCAGGTGACCTGTTGGGAGACCGGAGTATGCTGGACGCAGCACGCTGGCCTCTGCCTGAGATATAGCAGCGCACGGGCCTGGCTAATGACGTGTTACCAGGGCCTCCTTCCTGGGCTCGCTTAAGAGGCAGGTCACCTGGCTTATAATTAAGACACTGAGCCCACTCGCTGTTGATGGGAGCGTGCTTGCTAGTGAATTACAGCAAAGGCCCTTGTCATTTTCAGCTGGTTAAGTGGCATTTGTCCTGTGTTCTTTGGTTTAGTTTCAGTCAGTAGGAATTTCTGCCAGGCCAAGGTATCTGCTCTGCAGCTTGAGTTTTCTTGCGGCACAGGGGAGGAGTCAGACATCCTGGGTACCCCAACTGCCCCTCATGTTGGGAAACTTCCCCAAGCGCTGTCCCCCATCCCTGCACTCATTAACAAGGAATGAGTGGGTTGATTAAGTGACATTTGAGTGACCGTATATGCACATCACTCCAGAACTGAAGCTTTTTCCCTGTGGAACGGAAGTGACGGAGTCCTGTGAGGGCAGTGAGGAGGGGCCCAAGCTGGGAAATACTGGGCGAAGTGGTGAAGGGTATTCCTCGTCATTGCTGTGTCACCACCAGGGACTAGCCCTGTGTCGGGCGCAATGCCTATGTGGTTGTTTAGTGAAGTAATAAATGAGTGAACACCCAGGCGAAGAGATGAAAGAATGAAACCAAAGGCCCCAGGTTTGAAGTCACCGTTCTGTCCTCTTCTGTATTTGATGCTGAGGCTACTTAACTCAGTGGATCCTGAGTTTCCTCCTGAGTGGAGGGGAGGCTCTCAAAGCCAAGGTCGAATGAGACAAGGAGTGGGAGGACCTGGGACTCAGACCCAGCAGGCTCATTTCAGGAGAGCGACTGTATGAATTATGTATCACAGAGAAGTGGGTTTTCCCACTCCTAGAGTTAACTTACAACAGCTGGCCTCAAACCCAGTGTGTGGAACAGAATTTACCACCTCAGTTGAAACAGTTAAAGTCGGCCACGTAAGATGTTGCAAATAATGCAGGGGATTTGGAGAGATAAGGGATTCACTCACACAAGGAGAGGTCTGTGGGGATAGACAGCAAAGGGACTGGGCTGCGGACAGATGTGGGAAACACCCCTTCCCCAGCAGGATTCCTGTGGTGGTTCATTGCTGAATCCCAGTGTTTTGCCCAGGACCTCTGCTTAAGGTGATTAACAAGAATTTAATGAGTGAATGAACATATTTTAGAGCCCAATGATAGAAACATATTAATATGGGATTATAGACAAGGCATAAACTCCTATCCCCGAGCATTTAAGCGAAGTATTTGATATTCCAGGTACGGCAGTGCACTTGAAGTAGAAAGCACCCAGACATTTACATTCTTTCAAAAGACAATAAAAATGACAACTAAAAGGCAGCCCTTTACCAGTGAGTCACCCGCATGATGTGCTTTGAAACCTGAAGGTACAGGTACATTCATATCCTTGAAGACGCTCCACGTAAGTGCTTGTGGATCTGAACGCCCTGGGAGCAGATGCCGGCCCTCTCCCCCACCGCACGGTATCCATGGAGCTCTGAGATTACACAGTGATGTGGGCTTCTCTGAACACCCCTTTGTGCAGGGCACCTGCCCCGTGGTCCCTAAGCAGCACCGGGTTATCAGACGTTCTGTTGTGGTGTCGTAGGGCCGTGTTCAGGTCACCTTTATTACTGAGAAATGCCACAGTCACGTAACTCTTATTACATGTATCATGATTGTTGCTCTATTTTATTACTACTGTTGTTAATCCCTTACAGTGCCTAGTTTATAAATTAAACTTTTCATAGTTACGTACATATAGGAGAAAAAGTACATACAGGCGTGGGCAAAGGGGGGTTGACAGCTGCAGCGTATGTTCTTTTTGAGTTAAGAAAGCTGCTGTAATAATCACAACCTGCGTGTCTTTTTCCATAGGAACAGCTGTAAACCTACCTTTGCCCACCCCTGTGTAGAATTAAGTACTAGCTGAGGTTTCAGGCATCCACTGGGGGTTTTGGAACATATTATGAGAGAGACTACTATACCTCCATGGCGAACGCCTGACTGGACCAGGTGGCTGCAGGGGCCTCGAGGGCCCACACCTTGGGATCCTAAGTTATGACTCTTTAAGGGACATTCACATATTCCACCATTGCCCTTCAGAGCTCAGCCTCTGTGCCACGTTAGATGGCCTATGGGACTGTCAGGTCGTGGTGTAGCCCAACCAACTTCTGACTCGTGAACCCATGGGCCTTGGTGAGCATCCAGAGTCATCAGCCTGGGCCCCAGCTTTCGTGGGGGTACCGTTATTTCTGGAAGCAGTGTCCTTGCCCAATCCACACAGTATGTTAATGATACCTCCTTGGTAGGAAGAGTCTGTTCCAGTCCAACAGGTATCCCCAACTTCCAAAGATCATGGTCCTTTCTCTCCAGGAGTTTCCTCTCTCCCTATGAAGATTGTCCCACTTGTACTGTGGTGACAGGGTCTCCAGGAAAAGTGTCAGCCTTCATGGAGTCACAGAAGGTCATAGCTCTTTACCCCGCAGTGCATGCTCACCACCCTACCACTCAGAAAACACGTGATGGGGGGAGTCACGCTGGTCATTTCCTGGAAGAACAGCAAACTTCTACTTTAAGGCGGCTTTCTCTTTGGCCTGTCCTCTGAAATAGTTAGAAAAATGAATGAAGCTTGGCTTCGAGGTGACTTTCTGTTGTTCCTGTTCCTGGAAAGATCCAGAAAGCTGTCTGGTGTGAAGAGTCATCAGCGTGACCATCTCAGCTTACCGGGGACTCTGCTCGGGTGTGGAGAAGTCTACAGTTAAGCCCAGACTTCTCTACTCATCGGGGCCTCACTGAAGTAGGAAAATGGGGGGGGGCACGATTCCTCCCCATTTAAGCTCAGATTGAATGGCCCATCCAAGGCCACACAGTGAGAAAGGGGGGCAAGTCTAGAGGGCTCGCTTGCCTTGCTGAGGGATGCCCTGGTCTAAACCATAAGAAAGCCAAGGTCCTGGCCTTGAGTCGCTTATTATTGAACTTGGCTCTCCCACTTCTATGAGCTCTAACGAGTTGGAGGATTCTTCCCTATGAATATGGCCTGGGTTTGAAGAAGTTTGGTGGTAGCTTCTCAGCATCTTCTTTTGTAACACCCCAGACTTCACCCGGCTGCCATCGGACACGGAGGCTTGGACGGGGTTCTCCCAGAGTTTTGACCGTTCAGCACAGATCTGATTCTCAGGGAGCTCCTCTGCAGGCATGCTCATGCCCTCAGAATGGGAGGGGTCCAGTCAGTTAAAGGTGCAGGGGAGCCCTGTGGGCTTCAACTCTGGGGCCGAGAGTTCATGTCACATAAACGGCACCTAAACTTTGTAATCTTCACCCCCAGAGACCTCTACGGCAGGTGAGGGCATCTGCAAAGGGAGGGTCATCATTCGAGTTTAAGCATTTTGAGGTACACAGATATGCAAAGTATGGATAGAATACATTTTATTGTGAAAAGAAACATGAGAACCCATGGTGCCTTGTAACATGGCAAATAACAGGACACCTGCCTCTTCGTTGACCCTCGATCTTTCCATCTGTAATGAAACCTACTCCAGCGATTTTCTGCGAGGATTAAGGACAGTAACACATTGAAAGCACTTTGGAAGCTGTAAAGTAAGCACAGTTGGTCGTTATTATGAGAAGGTAATCATTGCCTTATATAGATACTAGTGTTTATTATTTTAGAATATTCCTATATTTTTCTAACTGTGTAGTTTATGCTTTAAGTGATTTGAAGGGTTTCACTATTTGCTCCCTGGTCAGTGGTCAAGGTCTCTTTACCTCATCCGTTGGATGTGTCATCCCGAAGTTCAGCCTAACTTTGAGGGATTAGGGTAGAGCTGGAACATATTGGAAACCACGGAGATGGGCAAGTTCCTTTAAAAAACTTGATATCTAATGCAATTAGAATTAGCACATTTACCTGAAATTTGAGACAGAGCGTCCTTCATATTATACAAATGCCACTTCGAGGAGAGGGCAATTCTGTAGGCACTAGGATGTCCTTAGAGACAAAGGGCAGTTTCTGTCCTCAGTCCCCTGTTCTCCTCATTGTTTCCAGGGGAGGGGATCATGGAAGGCTTCACAGAGGAGGAGACATGTCATCAGGTGAGGAACTTAGCCCAGCTGACAGTATGACAAGTGATTTGGCCAAGATTATATGATTCATAAGGGACTGGCCCAGGTTCTATGAGATGCCAGCCCAGTTCAGTGACCAGAAGTCTCATTCTTCTGTGATTTTAATCTTAGGCGTGGACCATGGTTTGGGGCCATTACTTCCCTCGAGCTGGACAGACACCTGAGACGGCTGAGGTCCGGGGTGGCCCTGGAGTTCACGGGCCCCCTCGGATTCTTGTTTTGCAGACGGCAGCAGCCTGCACTCGGCCTGCGCCCACGAGAGCACCATGCACAGCCGGGTCTTCCAGATCTTATACAGGAACGAGGAGGTGCCCGTCGGCGACGCCGCCGTCTTCCGAGCTCACTTGCTCTTGGATGGGGAACGGGTGAGTCATGGAGTCCGCCACCAGCAGCCACGAGCTGTGGTTCCCTCCTTGGGCCTTTTGTCTCCACCGAGGGGCGAGTGGCCGTGGAAGCTGAGGATTTGTTCTGAGATCTGCCCGATGGGGCTACGCGACTGTAGGCCGCCCCTGCGCCTCCTCAGCGCTTCATCTCGGTGCTCATTCTTTCCTCCTACCCCTGCTCGTGTCCTAGGCCAGGAACTTTCCATTGGCTGATTGCTGACTTTCTTATCACATTTCCTTTGCCCATTTGTTCTTCTATTGGCCACACTGTCACTGAGCTGGTGGCTGTCTATGAGCATCTGCCTCGTGGCTGAAGGGCAACTCTGAAGAAGGCAGCAGGTCCTCTGTCCTCAAGCAATCCATAGCTTATCAGGAAAAAGGTACATAAACACGCATCCCCATAGATGACAGTCACTGACCTAGCAGCGTGCACAAGTGAGCAAAGGTGCTCCAAGAGTGGGCTCTGGAGGACGTCAGTGGTTCTCAAAGGAGCTGGCTTTGCAACGCACACACTAGGAGTTCATCAGACTGAGAGAAAGAGGAAGGGCGTCTCGGCAGGGGGAATAGCACGAGTAAGAGCCCAGAGGCCTGGGAGGCTCATGCTGTTCACTGGAAGTGTGACTGCAGATGCCCTGTTCCTCAGATTAACTCACATCAGAGGGATATGTGGAGTCGAAACCATCGCTGTCACCCCCGCCCCACCCCAAATCCCCATTGCCGCGCTCCAGCTGAGTAGTTCCTGCTTTAAGGAGGTGGCAGCGTACTCCTGGTCGGGAGCGCCTGGAAAGGGGCCTGCCTCCTACTCACAGTCCCCAGCTGCTGTGCTTGCGGACGCCTCTGGGCCCCTGACGTCCTCCCTCATCCCCATGGCTTTTGTGCTCATCTTTTATGGTCTAGGTAGTGATCACATTCCCTATGCAGATGGAAGTGAAATGTTCACACCTGTGATGGGCTGAAGGTAAAACAGCGAACAAGAAAATACCTCTGGTGTCCTGGGCTTACATTTTCATGTTAGATCAATTCCTCACAATGTAATCAAATAAATACATCATGTGCATTCTGGCCCTGCGCCTCCCCACTGCTGTGGGCTCACTTGTCCATGAGATAAATTTACCAGGGTGTCAAGGGCAGGCATTCACTCCCTGGATGGAGGTCCCGGGAGCTCCACTGGACCCACCCAGAGTGGCAGAGAAGCCCTGGCAGGCCCACGGTGCAAGGCTTGCTGCTGCCTCCTGAGAGACCCTCCGGTCCTGAGATTGCCCAGAGCTCAGTTTCAACACAACCTTCACAGAGAGGGAGCTTGTTCCTGGGAGGGCAGGTGACAGACAGGAGAGGCACCCCAAGAAGCTAGCACACGCTGAGGTGGAGCCTGGCGAGCCAAGAGCTCAGGTGGATGGCATCCCTGGAGGGGGCACAACAGGAACAAGGGTCCCGAGGTAGGAGTGAGGTTGGTGATTCCAGGAAAAGCCACAGGGCCAAGGTGACCTGCACAGCGAGTGCTAGGAAAGGAGCAGGAGGAGGTGACGTTGGAAAGGTGGGTGGGGCCAGCCTTCCCAGCACTGAGGGCCAGGGGAAGAAAGCAGAGCTCATCCTCCGGCAGCGGAAGGCCACTGCTCCTGTCAGAAAGGTCCTGGCATGGCTTTTATTGTAGAATGTTGCCACTCTCCTGCCAGTCCACAGGCTTGTCAGGACTGGGCTCTCCTGTCTCTCTTTTCATCCCCAGAAGCTGCCATAGGACTGCACTGGAGATTCTCAGCAAATCCCGAGTGGATGACTTGGTAAATGAATGAGTTGAATTTCAAGTCCCTTCTTTTTAGGCCTTTGTAAGCTCTTCTCTGCAAACAGAAAGGAATATGCCTTGTGTGCCTCATTACCTGATCCCCGTCTGCCTTGTGCCATCACAGTGACTGCAGACACCTGTCTGTAATGGAAATCAAAAGGACCAGAATGGACCCCTATGATCGGTGCTGCCTGTCTTCTGACGGCTCTTCTGTCTCCACTCTGTGCCCTCCCCACCTGCTTCGGACCCGGGAGGCTGACTGCACGCACTGATCAGTAGTATCCTTACCTTTCGGTTTCCACTTGGGTTCAGCCTATGAGAGATCCTGCAGGTGACTGGAGGAAGAGAGGAGAGTAGGCCCAGGGCATTCCCTCCCTGGGCTCCTAAGTGCTGGTTCCTAGGCCGGGGGTCTGTGTCTGCTGGTGTGCTGAGGCCTGCTTGCACTAGAGAGCCACAGATACACGACTCATCCCAACTCCGCATTTAGTGACTTCACATTAGTAGCTGGAAATCAATTGGATGAGAATATTTATACCACAGGAACCGGCGGTGCTGCAAATCAGGGTTTCTATTTCCCTCCAGAGAGGTGGTGGTTCAGTGCTTTCCAGCGCCCCACTGGTTGTGTCCTCCTACCTAAGGTCTCAAGTAGGGGCCCGCTGCACCAGCTCTCTTCGGTTCTGACAGCCACTCCCGCCTGACCTCCAGGCCCAGAGGGGCAGGGGAGGCCTGTGGCTGCCAGCCCCGGGGTACTGACGGCGTTCCGCTGCCTCGAAACCCGCTCCACGTGTCTAAACCCATCCCTTTAACGGGCTGCACTCGGAGTCCTCGCCTTGAGTGTGCCCTCTACTTCCTTCCTAGACCCTGCTGGACACACTTAGTTTAGGAGAAGACGCCCTGAGGGTGAGTGTTGAGGAACTCCCACTTAGGGTGAGGGCACACAAGCATTTTCCCCGAATTGTAGAGAGAATGTCACTTTCTCCTAATGGGCTGTCGTCGTTGACCTGGGGCACCTTCCTGGGCAGGGCGGCTGCCACTGGAGGCTGGCTTTGGCCGTTCCTCAGGCATCTTGGTCATTGTTCCATCTTGATTCCGTCAGAGTCTTGCTCCTGCCCCAACAGTTTAAAGCCTTTCTAGTGTAATTTTCCTGACACCCAGGTTCAGCTCAGCCTTCATTCTGAGGTTGAGCAGGGCACCTGCTGGGCAGCACGTGTTGTTTCCTTCTGCAGATCAAATCACTTGTCTCTACAAGCTAATAAAGTATTCCTAGGTTTGGGGTAACCCATACGGCAGCAGTGTTACAGTTAATCATTATATACAAATCAGTGGCAATTAAAGCTAATTGGATATGCCCATAAAACAATATATCTGAGCTTGTTTCCAGTGAGTATCTGTCTGCTTATGGCAACCAAAACACTGCCTATAGCCAATGGCCGGAGTTCCTGTTCACGCACGCACACGGCCCTCATTGCGGACAGGCTTTTAGGCGCAGCCCATGTGCCAAGCACACTGTTCCCCGTGCTGTGGGAAATGTAGGCGTGACGAAGACCCTGTCCACATGGTGAGAGCACAAGTAAGTGCCAGAGGTGACCACGGACAGACGCATCACAGCTGAGGATGTTTTACTGATGGTCACAAAATGGGAGTGTGGAGGTCGGAGGGGAATTTTATTTTAACCAGTCTGTGTAATCCCCCAGAAAGTTTGGGGAAAACTTACCACATACATAGAAGAGTAAAAGGAAATAAAATAGCAATAGAATGAGCCAAAGTACAGGAAAACAGACAAAGGAGAAAAAGCCCAGGTCAAATGCACAGTCAGTGGGGGATGTTTGCTCACAGTGCCCGCACACGAAGGGCTGGGCTGCCCAGCTCAACCAGCTGAGCTCTGCCCAGGTCAACACTTCATTCATAGCTTTACCCACATTAAATAAGGTGGTAAATGGAGAGGGGGAGCTCCATGCCTGCTACATGGTGAGTCTCCTGTAAACACCAGCTACCATGATTTTCACTGCTATGTACAAAACTGCTTCCTGGTGCTAAAAAAAAGATCCTTGGAGGAAGGTTTTGGTTTTTGTTTTTTGTTTTAAAATCCTCACTTGAGGGTATTTTTTCCCATTGCTTTTCAGAGAGAGTGGGGGCGGGGGAGAGAGAGGGAGAGAGAGAAAGAGAAACATCAATGTGAGAGAGACACATGAATTGGTGGCCTCCTGCATGCGCCCTGACTGGGCTGGGGGTCGAGCCTGCAATTGAGCTACTGCCCAGGGCAATACTTCATTCATAGTTTTACCCACATTAAATAAGGTGGTAAATGGAGAGGGGGAGCTCCGTGCCTGCTACATAGTGAGTAGCAGGGACCTAAAGATAAATTCCACCATATGTCTCTGCCCAAGTTATGCTGCAGCGGGAACTTATTTCCAAAGAGGTGAGAGAATCCAACCCTGCAGGATGGAAACATTCCTTGACTGGAATAGAACTCAAGACCCTTCAGTCCACGGGCCAATGCTCTAACCACTGAGCAAAACCAGCTAGGGCAGGAAGGTTATGTTTTTAACCAAGATAAGGCAGAGCAATGGAAGGGCACATGTACATGTGCATATGTGTGTATGCGTGTGTATGTGTGTGCAGATGTGCATGCACGTGTGTGATCATATGTGCATGTGCAAGTGTGTGCATGTGTACATGTGCAAGTGTGTGTTTGTTTGGAGGGCAGAGCAGGAAGCCAACAGCCAAAGATGAAATGAATGGTGAGAGAGGCAGTGACTTCATTCTGGAACACCTTGCAATGAAATATTTTTGAGACATCGGTGAAGTCATAGCCGGGCTCAATCTAGCCCCGGCTCATCCTGGCCCGGGTTCCTCTCCTAGTTCCAAAGGAATCGCAGCACGTCTGGATCTGGAGCACACAGTGAATTTTCGTCCACCAGGCGAATGCATGCTGAGAAGGTGCTTAGGATCGCTTTGCCAGGCTCTTCCCCGGAACTGGCGGCAGGAGGTTGTGTTGCTTGGGCTCTGTGTACAAAGCAAGGTTCCTGATTATGCAAAACAAAGCTAAGAGATGTTCTTCATAGCACTTGGATCCAGCAGAATGTTAACTTTTGAATGCTTTTTTTATAACACATTTTAAAACACCGGGGACCTAAAGATAAATTCCACCATATGTCTCTGCCCGAGTTATGCTTCAGTGGGAACTTATTTCCAAAGACGTGAGAGAATCCAACCCTGCAGGATGGAAACATTCTGGCAAAGAGACAAAACCCAAAAGCGGGGTGTGGAGAAGAGCTTTAGCTTTGTTTATTTCTCGGGATCCATTAATATTTTCTATGTGACAGGCTCTATTCCTGGAGCCGGGGATCCAGAAGGAGTTAAGACCAGTCTCTCCTTTAACGATCCCAGTTGGCTGAGGGCCCTGGGCGAGAAGGTGGCCAAGGGCTTAGTCAGAGGCTGAGTGGGACCTGTCAGAGGCCACTGGGAGCCGGGTCCACGAGAGGCTCCCCACTGCATGGCCAGAGCCAGGGATTTCTCTCTCTCTTTTTCATAAGCTGAAACCTATAATAGAAACGTGAAATCGCCTGATTTTGAAATGTTTGCAGCTTTATAAGGATGAAACCAAGTGTGTCTTCAGATGAAATTTGACTTACAGGCTTCCTGGTTATAAACCCAAAAGAAAAAATTCTAACCGGAAGCCTGGACTGCAAGACCAAAGCAACACGGGGTTTTGTGGGTCATAGAGACAGGCCCCATCCGCCCTGGGCTGGGGAGGAGGCCGCATGGACCTGGCTTCCTGCCGAGTGGCGCCCTGGGGAGCTCTGGCATTAAGCAAGCTGCCCCCTTTGGGGAGGGGGGATGTCGTTTCCTGTGGGAAAGGAAGAAAGGGGGGGTGGCACCATCTTTTAGATGTATGTGAGACTCTGGCAGGAACGACAGATAGTCTTATGCTAATTAATGAAAACAGACTTTTTGAAAGCCAAGAACGGATGCAGCCATAAAATGCTAAAGTGTCTTAAAATATAAATGGTGACATGGACTGGATCTCAAGATAAAGGATGGGCTTTCTTAGGGTGCCGAGCCACCTTGGGAAACGTCTTCACTTTCCTGAGCATCAGCTTGTCATACACCCGCCCGGCAGGTGCCCGAGGCAGGGACGACCACACCTCCAGCGTTACCCGCTGCTAGCCAGGGGGGCTCCTCTGCTCCGCTCTCCCGAGTGGGTACCGTGGTGGACACAGGACTCCTGCTTAAAACGACTCCACATCAAAGCTGTTTGGGAACGGGGCTCTCAGAAGTCCTGCAATATAGAAAAATAGTTTAACTAGCTTTTGTTTTACAAATGGGATTTTCCCCAAATGTGACTATGTAAATACCTCCTGTTTTTCATGCAATACTCACAGACATCCTGTTCAACCAGAACTCCATGGAACATACATGGAAATTCTGCTTCCACCATACATCATTAACTTCGTGGTGAGATTCCTCTTCTAGACTTGGGGAAAGAGACCAGCCGGATTTTTCATTTGGAGCAGACCTGACCCCTGAATTCCCTTGAACTTTGTTTCTCTCATAGGTGGAAGAGGCACTGAGTGAAGTCGGTTTTCAACTCAAGGTGGACCTGCACTTTACGGACAGTGAACAACAGTGAGTGGCCTTGAAATCCTAACCCTCCCCAGCCCTTCCCCACCCCTGGGGCAACCCCACAGCCAGGAACCTCAGCACATCCTCAGAAATGCCTGGGATCAGCAGTGTCACACTGCACCCAGGCTGGTAGGCTGGGCGTGTCGCATGGTCGTGCCATGCCCTGCATTTGGGGCGCAGAACACCCCTGGTTCAGTGCCCAAGACCTTTTCCACTCTGGTCCCTCCATACATTTTCACCACAGCACTCATTAGGTTTTTAGGTAATAACTGTATGCAGTGGCAAACCTCAAAGCCCCTTTGAACGGGAGGAGTTCTGCCAGGACCCCACGACGTTGCGCTGATGCCTGCTACTGGGTTTCACCCATCTGACAATTGAAAGCCCGGTTAAGTGTACCCTGCTGATCACATGAGCAGGAGGTGACTCTCCCTTTCTCATTGCTTCTTCCTTTAAGCTTGTTCTGGGGCTGCCTCCCACCCTGGGGCGAGCTGTCCCGTCACAGAGCATCTGCAGGATTTGAGCGGGTAATAAGCAGTCCTTTTCTTCAGGCATTGAAAATCCAGTCAAGTGTACGACCAAATCTAAACTCTCATCCAATTCATAACTTCTTTGCCTTGTCATTGTCCCCTTTCTTCACCCACCCCAGCTCCAGGCTTTGTCCAAGACAGAGGCGACATCCTGCTTCCTGGGTCCTGGGTCCTGGGTCCTGGGTCCTGGGTCCTGGGTCCTGGGTCCTGGGTCCTGGGTCCTGGGTCCTGCTCCTTCCCCACGGGAGTGCGGGCCTTGCAGGTCAGGCAGGAGGAGGGGGGAGGAGACTGTACAGGGCAGAGTCCCATCTGATAAGTTCACTTGCAAACCAGGCTCTTGATTGGGGGGAACTCCCCCTTCCTCAGCTCTTGGGGTGTCTTGGACATTCCCTGGAGATACAGCCAGTAGGCTGCCCAACCTGCCCTGTGCTCCTGTGATACAGCGATGCCTCCTATGGTCAGTCATTCACTCCTTGCAGGAAGCTCTCTTGGAAAATTCTTCTCCAAAGAACCCATATCTGGCCCTTGGGAAATGAACACAGGGCTTTAACAGTCATCACACAGTGGTAGGGACCTCACCCCTGCAATGTGGCTCAGTCTTCTTTGTTCAACCCAACCACCCACAGCTTCTCTTCTGAGGACTTTTACAGGATCAGTCAGGTCCTCAGGCCCGTGTCCCCCCAACTCTAAGGGACACAAGGCAAACTCACTGGAAGATCCCTCTCATTAGGCTTAAGGTTATGGGGGGACACTCCTTTCCCTCTGTTCTATAAGCAGAATCGCAGTACATGCTGACCACTCTGCCAATAAACCCTCACTTCTAGTGTCTACAACATCATCATCAATACGTCACCTTATCCTCTGGAGAGTGGGGAGTTGGGGGGGCCAATGGGCTAGAGTTGGTAGAACAGCCCCCGAATCCCTGTAAAATTCAGATTCCCTATTGGAACTTCTCCCCCTTCTCAAGGACTGTCCCATCCGAGATGTGTCTGATTGTTAGAGGAGTTTCCATTACACGGGGAGTTGAATAAGGGGGATCTGAACCAGAGGTGGACCAGATGTCAGAGACCTCACGGTGTCTGTACAGTGAGGACACACAACTGCTGGTGTGCGGATGGTCACATCTAGTCTCTGGGCTGTTGGGAGCATCTGCCCATGGCCATGCCATGCTGTCTGGCTCAACATCACAGATTCCTCACTCTTCTCTGGACCCCCCAGTCCCTCTGGCCACTTTCTTTCCTCATCACTTCTGTTTACCCCTTTGTGGGATGGTGGGTGCTTGAGAAATTTTATCTCCCCCACTCTATCCCCAGGAGTTGTTGTAACACCAAGTGGAACTCAGAGGCCCTTCAGGAGGGTGGCTTTCTGCCTAACCTGTAACTCAGATGTGAAGCCCCTGCCTCCATTGTTCTCATGTTCTCATTTAACCATCTGGGATTTCTATCATTTACTTATTTCATTAACCCACCCCTGCGTTATCTTCTGCCCACTTCCTTCAGAGATATCCATAGCTCCAAGGTAGGCATTTCCAATGGGCCACAGACCTGCTACTGATTCTGATCTCACCAGCCCTCCGGGCAGCCTTAATGATAAATCACTGTGGGCACAGGAAATGGCACCATCAGTAGTTACTGGAGAGCCTGTGTACAGGAGATGGGCCCAAACAAAAGGCATGATATTCAGCAACCTGGGCTCTGCGCTCTTCAACTCTGTGACACTGGGCAAGTCCCTGCCCTTTCCTAAATCTCAGCAGCCTTGTTTATAAAATGGGCATCACTGAAGAATCTGCACCTCACAGGTCTGTCTTGAAGATGAAGAGACTGTATCTGCAGCAGCCCAAGTGCATGGCCCGCTAAATCTGTTTCCTCCCCTTTGTGGCCACTGTGTGTCATCTTCTCCTTATAACACGCAGCACTTAATAACAACCAAGCAGGGGTTTCCATGGAGTATGAGATTAGCTAAGAGGAGCAGGAAGACAGAGGCTACGGACAAATGGAAAATGCCATATTCTTTCATAAGTTGGGTGTAAGTGTGACAAGGCGTCTGTCACACATCCTGGGGTAGACATTTGGCTTTGGAACATGACCCAGCAAATGGCTCCTCTGAACCATGGAGGCCGGCGTGGGAACAAGGAGAGAAGCATAGCATGTAGTATCAGTGATGGAAGGGCTCCTGGCGTCCATCTCCTCCGGAAGGCGGGACGACTGTGACCCCCAGGGACATATCTGTGGGCCTGAAGACACTTTTGGTTGTTCCACTGGTGGGAAGGGTGCCGTCAGCATTTAGAGGGTGGAGTCTAGGGGTGCTGCTCAATATACTGCAATGCACAGGAGAGCACCCTCTCCCTGACAAAGCATTATTCAGTCCCCAGAGTCGACGTTACTGGGGGTGAGAGACCCTGCTCTGTTCTAACCTCACATTAGTACTCGCTGCTCTACAAAGGCTTATGAGCATATGCTTGACCTGGCACGGGGAGCTCACTCCCCTTATTCTGTCCTTGGACAGCTCTGCCTATCAGGAACAACTTCTTTCCTTCAAGGAACAAGTCACGTTGTGGTGCCTGGTGTGTCTGGATAAGAGTTCACATAGGCAAGACTTAGTTACCTGTTTATCTCCAATGAAACATCTTTGTGTTTTGTGATTTGGTTTGAGTTTTTAGTTGCTTTATAAGAACCCAGCCTTTCTGCTCACAATCCTTCAAGTTTATCTCTCTCGTTTTTATGTGAGACACCCCCATGACCTGAGCTTTATCTCCACTAATCAGCTCTGTCCCTTTCAGAGCACAAAAGACCTGTCACCTCCTCTCTCTGATATCTTTACTCCCATCAACATGGTTTAAGCTCTTGTTGATGTTTTTGACGCCTTTGCTGCCCCGACATGGGTTTCACCTCCTGTTACCCAAGCCCTGAGGATATTCTTGTGATTCCTACGAGCCCATGTCTGAGGGGACTCACAGCAGAGTGTGCGGTGACATGGAGCCGACTGTGGTCAGGCAGGAGAGGGCCTCACACTTCAGTTTGCCTGTGGCCTGGAACAAGTCATTCACTCGCACTGGCGTTGGCCTCATCCTGGCCCGTAACTGGACAATAATACCAGCGAGTGCCTCCTGGTTGTCATGCGGGCCCCCATGGGCCTCTTCCTGCTGAGAGGAGGCCGCTACAGTGGTCGCGTTGGAGTCGCGCTCTCCGCCGTGACCGGCTGGCGCCTTCCTGGAGCTCCTTTGCACACAGCCCGAAGCAACACGGATTTGCGGCAGCAACACTGCTGGGCAGGGCTTGGGAGCTTGCCCCCCTCGCCTTCCTCTGTCTCACTCCCTCGTCTCTGGAGAAGTCTGTCCTCTGAACACTCTCTGAGCGTCTCTGCTCCACTCATGGAAGACCCTCCATCCAGGCTTCCCAAGCGCTCTGGCTCAGAGAAGCTTGGAGAGCCTGGGGATTGGTTTCCACAGTGGAGAGTAGCACTGGATGGCTTTTATTTAGGGAAAAATCAATCCCATTTCTATAACCGATGACTATCGGGCCTTGCCGACTGGTTGGTTTGTCTCTTACGAGGCAGACTCATCCCACTTACAAAACGTGCAGCACAGGTGGGGGAGCCTTGAGGAAACTGGTCAGGCTCCTCAATCATTATGCTTGGGAGTCAGTCATTCAGTCAGCCAACTGTTCCTTTGTTCTCATTTGTTTATTTTTTTTCAATTACAGTTTACCTTCAATATTATTTTGTATTAGTTTCAAGTGTAAGGCTTAGTGCTTAGACAATCATATACTTTACAAAGTGTTCCCTTAATATTTCCAATACCCACCTGGCACCACACATAGTTATTACAATATTATTGACTATATTCCCTGTGCTGTACTTGCATCCCCATGACTATTTTGTAGCTACTACTTAGTACTTCTAATTAGTACTTCTAATCCCTTCACCTTTTTCACCCAGCCCCTCTCCCTCCCGGCCACCATCAGCCTCTGTATCTATGAGTCTGGTTCTGTTGTGTTTGATCATTTATTTTGTTCTTTAGATTCCACATGTAAGTGAAATCATATGTTATTTGTCTTTTTCTGTCTGACTTAGTTCACTTAGCATAATATCGCCTAGGCCCATCCATGCTGTCACAAATGGTAAGATTTTGCTCTTTTTATGGCCAAGTAATATTCCTTTGTATATTTGCACCACAGCTTTTTTTTTTTTTTAATATATCTTTATTGATTTCAGAGAGAGGAAGGGAGAGAGAGAGACATCAATGATGAGAGAACCGTCATTGATTGGCTGCTTCCTGCAGGCCCCCAACTAGGGATCGAGCCCGCAACCCGGGCATGTGCCCTGACTGGGAATCGAACTGAGATCTCCTGGATCCTAGGTCGATCCTCAACCACGCCCAGCCAGGCCCCACTACAGATTTTTAATCCACGCATCCCTTGCGTTACTTCCATACCTTGGCTATTATAAATCATGCTGGAATGAACACTGGGGTATATATATGTCCCTTCAATTATTCCTTGTGCTAAGCAAACATTTGATCAGTTCTACAGCCTGCCATGACCTGTGCCAGGTGTTGGGGATATGGAGATGAATTTGTCACATTTCCTGATCTTAAGAGGTAGGAGTCTAGTAGAAAATAGACTCACAAAGGCAGTGCAGTGCCAGACACCTGTCGGGAAATAAAGTGAGTGTGGAAGGGGGGCCAGGCGGGTTCCTGCTGAGATGGGCCTTGGAGGGTCTAGGTTTCCTTCCATCACTGACTGACCATGGGCTTGGTGACAGTGACAGCAGAGCCCGAGTCCCAGCTCCGCCGGGAAGCAGCTGTGATGTCTGTCTTCCCTTCTCCATGCCTTAGTTTCTTCATCTGCCAATCATGGAAAAAATAGTTTCTACCAGACAGTGTTGCAAGGGTTGGATGAGATGATGTATGCCTGGCAAGTGGCGGGGGTGGGGAGGGTGTGAGGCTGTCACTCAGACCTGCCTGGATGAAGGCAGAAATGACCCTCCATCACTCACCTGAGCTCACACGCTTGCCTTGCAGACTGAGAGACGTGGCGGGGCCCCCCGTGATCAGCAGCCGGACACTGGGCTTACACTTCCACCCCCGCAGAGGCCTGCACCACCAGGTGCCCATCATGTTCGACTATTTCCACCTGTCAGTGATCTCAGTGACCATCCACGCGGCCCTGGTGGCCCTGCAGCAGCCCCTGATCAGGTATGACGTCACGAGCCCTGAGGCACAGGGTAGGCATGTTCTGGTCAGGCCACGGCAGAGGGTGTGTGAGACTCACGGAGGTGGCAGCATTGACCAGCACAGGCCAGAGCAGCTTCTCCCAGGCTGAAGGTCAGGCTCCGAGCCTCACTGAGAGGCAGGGGGAGGTGGGCGGGGGAGCCAAGGGGACACAGGCCGGGAGCCCGGGATTGATAACCTGCCAAGCACAGACCAGACCTGAAGGCTTGGATTCTACACCTAGCTTGGCTTTTCCCTCACTGTGCCTATTTGAGAAGTCACATAACATCCCTGAGACGCCCGATCTTCCTGTAAATCAGGAACCAACCGGGCCCTGCCCACTGAAGGTTTAGTGAGTCTCCCACGGCACAGTGGCCAGGCCGGGCAGAGCGCTGCTCCCTCTCCAGCTCGTGGCCGGGAGCGCAGACAGTTTCACCATCAGAGCTCGGGCTCCTCCAGGGATGGGCAAAAACAGAACCGTCTTCTGTTCTCCCTTCTGCAGGAAGGGTTTCTATGTGTTGGCTCCCAGTGGCTGGAACAAAGCCATCCTTGAGAGTTAGAGGAAATACCTGTCAAAGAGGGCAAGCTCTGGTTTTTCTAGAGAAGCCAGTTTTGAGGCATCAGTTAAATCCAATCAGAAGGAAGCAGGTGTGAAATTAAAATTTAACCTCAAAAGACTCTTTCCTTCCCCGAGGCAGACTGAAGGAAAGAATTTGATTTTTAACCCTCAAGGGTACAGTAGGTTGTTCAGCTGAGGGATTCGTCTCCACTGGAGGCTGATCGAGACCACGCTTTAGTCAAATAATGAGACATTTTAGTTATTACTTTGCAATCTGTTCCCCGATCATGCCACACACATCATTGCTCAAATATACGTATGCTATATGTCTTCTGGAATGTTCCTTCTAGCTAAGCTAGATGCTTGCTTCAAATCTCAGTTAGAAACAAACCAGAGTGGTGGTGATGTTACACTTCATTGAATTTGTGGTATCAACAGTAGCTATGTAACTACAGTAATGACTATATCAGATTGTATTACCTCCGTGGTATGATCGACAATAGCTACCAGCATTTACTGAGTCAGATACAGCACTTAAAGCTGCACTTGGCTGGCCTCATGAAGTCCTCACAACAACCCCCCAGAAACAGAGGCACCAGGATGTTTAAAAACTATTCCTACCTCCCAGAGCTGATAGGCACTGCTGCTGGGGCCGAACTCAGGCCAACTGGGCCCCCGGCTGCCTCTGAACCACTTGGCCACACTCTGCTTGGCGACATCTCTCACTGTTCATCATTTCCACCCATTTTGGCTTGTAAACTGCATCGTGCTCACTGGCCTGAGTTTACCTCCCTCATATTACATCTGCCTCTCTCTAGACTAAAATGTGTTTACGGTGAGGGCCTCGCCTTAATCATCTCGCCACCTCAAGGCCCACCCATGCCCTCCACGTGGCAGGAGCCTAATGGATATCCGAATGAATGGATGAAGCAGAAATGTAATGTTAGCTTTCATCCCCTGCCAGTATGGAAGCAGACGTGTGGGTCTCTGGGGTTAAAACTGTTCAGTGTTTCCCGAGCACCCACGCTGGAGGTGATGCCAGCTGAGGCGACTTACGGTCAAGACCTCCTTGCCCTTAGAGACTTTGACTCTCTGGGGGAAGAAGGCGCGCCTATAAAACAGTACTTACAGTGGAAGACAACTGACCATTAGGCTATTTAATAGAAGGGATCAGAAAGAAAGGACAGGGGTGTAAGTAGACCCCGTCAGTACATCAGCAGGGAGAACCGCAAAGGTAAAGGAAGCGGCGACCAGGGACCAAGGAAGAGAAATTCCCATCCTCGCATTGGCTTCCCGACCCTCCTGCAACCTACCTTCGACGTTGCCCTCCCTCTGGCCACGTCAGCTGGCCTTGTGCTGACTTGTGGAGGCGCAGGGCCTACGTCGCCTGTGCGGCAGATTAATTACAGCATCTCAGCAGCCCTGCCACTGTGCTGCTTGGGGATGACAGCCCCGACGCCCGTGGTCCCGTTAGACCCACCCCTTCTGGAGGCTCCCACCAGCCCAAGGGGCCGACGTGGTGGTGTCAGCACTGTCTCCATTCGCTTTCTCCCTCCCCCTCTCCTCTTCAGCTTCGCGCGCCCGGGAAGAGGCTCCTGGCTTGGCAAGGGCGCCCCCGACGCGGGCCCGGACCCGCCCAGCCTTTCCCTGGAGAACCTGGTCTTCGGAGCGGGATACTGCAAGCCGGCCGCCTCGGAGGTAACAGCAGCGGGGCCGCAGCGGCTCCAGACGAGCCAACTTTGCTTCCTGAGGGTGTTCTGTGAGGGGCCAGCTTGTTTCAAACGTCCCACTAGAGAGTCTTTGCCCTGTGTCCCTCCCTGTCATCTATCAACCGTCCCTTCTTTGAACCGCTGCCACATCTATCAGACACATTCGAGACGTGAGGCCCTGGGGCAGAGGCCGGGGATCGGGGCTGCATGTGGCACCTCTTCTACCTGGTCCCTTGAAGGATGTGGTTCTCTGGGCCACTGGGCTTGTTGTGTGGAGCTCCCCCCAGACTGGGGGGACAACCAACCTTGAAAGCTGGTTGTCGCTGAGCTGGTTTCAAAACCTGGCTCCTTGTCTCATTTGCTCGCTTCTCTGAGCTTCAGTTTTCCCACCTGTAGAGTGGGGTTGCTAATATTTAACAACCTCATGGGGTCATATGTGTGTCCTGGGCTGTCATGGATGTAAAGTCACTGCTCCAGTACTTGGTACTCAATAACTGCACATCCTAACCTTTCCCTTGTTTCTTCCTGTGCAAAAATACCCATGGTTACTTTTGTGTGACGCATGGGGCACTGGCCACACACAGAACTATTCTGTTCATATTTCTCCTGAGCTAATCAGGGATTATTTTTATTAGGGATCTGCTCTGAAATAACTAGCCTGGATTCTTCAGAAAAATGGAACCAATAAGACATGGGTAGATAGATGGTATGATAGATGGTAGACAATAGATAAATATAGAACATATATATATATGGTATAGATACAAGATATATGAATAAGAGCAGATTTTAGAGCCCAAAATTGCTTTGAGAGTGGACTCCACTGACTTGCAGCTGTAGGACCTCAGGCAGCCACTGAACCTCTAGGAACTGGTATCCTTAGCATGGTCACAGCACCTGGCAGAGAGTGGCAGGGAATGGAAGGCAGGGAGCCAGTGGCACGGTGGGCCTGTCTGTGTCCCCTCGTGTGCATGGCTGGCCTCAGGGCTCCAGTGAGAAGGCAGGGCCCTCCTCTGCATTCCCAGAGCCAAGCACAGAGCCCTCACCATGAGTGGACGCCTGTGTGTGCCCAGATCATCCTGACCGCCTGCTGCAGACCTACCCCTGTTCCAGACTGCCTGTAGAGACTGAAGCCTCTGCTGTGACCGCATCACAGCCTGGCCTCACCCCAACCCAGTTCTGCTTCTCACTCCGCACATGTATTCACCCTAGAGCTTCCCCAAAGGCCTCCTACCTGAAAATCTTGGCTCCTGGGATGGGGCATGGGACATCAGGATGTTGAAGATCATAGATCAATTCAAAGCATTTTTAACACATATCCCAATACAAGGGCCTTTGCTGGGGGCACAGGAACATGTGAGGATGCTGCTGCTCTGGCGGCCCTGCAGGAGCCCAGATGCACAGCTCCCTACACGTCGCCCAATGGCTCGTTCAGATGCCACTGCCTCTGTGAAGCACTCTCTGATTCCCTCCCAGAAATGCTCTCTCCCAAATGCTTCTTTCACAGTCAGCTCTAGGCATCTGTCTCTGAGTGGCTGGGAACAGAAGTCCGCTCATTGAGCTCCACGTGCCCAGGGCCCGGCAGCATGCCTGGCACGTGTGGGTGGTGCTCTAGAAATGTGTGTGGAACTAACGCCTGGTGCCAGTGCATGATAGTGTTCACGGAGAGGGCTGCTGGTGGCAGAGCTAAGCCACACACAGGCTCCCCTGTGTCCTCAGGGACAGAGAGCAATGGAGGGACAGGACAGGTGTCTCTGGTGATGAGAGTGCCAAGCGGGCTGCCCTTGGAGAAACTCTAGGCTTGGGGTAGGTAGCAGGCTAGGGGCCCTGTGACTCACTCAGCCCATCTGATTCTGATGTGTCTGAGGAGGGTGGGCATGACCTGGCCTCACCTCTACCTCTGAGACCACTGTGACAGGGGAGGGAGGAGATTGTGGCCTCAGGTGCCCACCATGCTCGTGCTGAGACTTGGGGGGCTTCTTCTCACTGTGGAAACGTAGGTTCCAACTGAAATGGGACAGCTCCTGTGCTCCAGAGAGGATTTCAGAGTTAATGTGTGTAAAAACAGTACAGAAATAGACTCATAGCAGGCATGTGATATGGTATCTTTTTATATTTTTAAATTTTTTCCTTGGCTATTTTTGGGGATGTGTGCCAAAGAAGACGTCCTTGTCTTTTCCCGGAGTCAGATGAAATAGCTTATTTGTGGGTGCTCAGCTGTGAACTTGCTCTCAGGGCTCAGCGCAGTGGTTTATTTTCGGGACCCAGTTCTCTTTGTACACTGTCCATCTGGGGCCGTCCAATTCTGTGGGCTCAGTGTGGCGCCCACCCCATCCTCCCACCTGACAAGGGCTTCCAGGCAAAGAATTACCGCCCCCTGCCTCCCCTGGGGGCTGTGCCTCCAAATCCCCAAGAAGCCAGGGCTTTAGCAAATCACACCACAACCCGCAGACTGCACTCAGCTGGGGGAAGAGAGAGCAGGTGTTCCCCCCAATAAGGCTCTGTGCGCAGCAGCATTTGCAGAAACTCAAGTCTCCAAGCAGAAGGAGCTGACTCACAGGACAAGTCACGGGGAGGTGAGGGTTGTTGTGACCTGCCGTGTACCTTTGTCATTAGCTCCTCTCACCCTGTAGCCCCTCTTTCCCAGAGCTTCAGATTTAGAAGTGGAAGGAGGGCTTGTTCACAAGCCAGCAGCTTTGCCCTGGGGAATTACTTTTTCCTCTCTGGCTCATGGCTTATCCGGCAAAGGGGATAGTAATGCCCGCCTCGTGGGGTTGCTGAGATTAAATGAATAAGCCTATAAAAGCCTTGAGCTTAGAGCCTGGCATAAAAGTGGTCCATAAAACCCTCTGCTGGTATTATATTTCTTTTAGTTTATCCATATCAAATGATAATTAAATCGCATGTCACTCTAAGAGCCCCAGTGTGGTCTTGCGGGCAGGATACCGCATGAAGGAACTTAGATGTAGTTCTGTTCTTGGCTTCATCATTAACCTGCTGTGTGGCCCTGAGTCAGACACTTGCCCTCTCTGGGTCTCCATTTCCCATTGGCAGAGGTTGGATGGAATCGTCCTGGAGGCCTCTATGCTGTTTTTACTGTGATATTTCTGACACTGCCTGGTACAGCTGGGGACACTTGACACAAGCTTGATGTGTTGGTCCAGATTATCAGAGAAACACACACACTCATATATCTCAGAGAGATATTCATTTATTTTAAGGAATTGTCTCATGTGATAGTTGAGGCTGGTTCTTGGGACGAGGTGGGGATGATCAGTCTTTTTCTATTTAGGTCTTCAACTGATTGGATGAAGCCCACCCATATTATGGAGGGCAAACTGCTTTACTCAAAGTCTAAAAATTTAAATGTTAATCTCATCTAAAAACAAACCTTTGCAGAAATGTCTAGAAAAATGTTTGACTATGTATATCTGGGTACCATGGCCTGGCCAAATTGATGCATAGATTAACCATCACAAGTAATAAATGCTCAGGGACTGACAGACTCATTGAAGATCAGGAATCCAGTTACTCCAAATCAGCTGAATCCCTTCTCCTTCCAGGAGGCTGTGCACCCCCTTTCTTTTCACTGAAATAAGTGGGGCTGCTGCACTGCCAAGGGTAGAGGGGTGGTAACCTGGCACAGAGATGCGGACTTTAGACTCTCCTGGTCTCAGAGCTCTGCCTCCTCCAGCAGGGCATCGGTGTGTCCATTCACANCTTTTCACTGAAATAAGTGGGGCTGCTGCACTGCCAAGGGTAGAGGGGTGGTAACCTGGCACAGAGATGCGGACTTTAGACTCTCCTGGTCTCAGAGCTCTGCCTCCTCCAGCAGGGCATCAGTGTGTCCACGTAGTCACCCATCAGTCATGCATTTAGCCCTACTGTGTGGTAACACCTGTGTCCTGCAGGGGCTAATACCATCTGTAAAACTCAGTCTTGCCCTGGCGGAGTTGGCTCCGTGCTTAGAGTGTCTGCCCGCCGGACTGAAGGTCACAGGTTCCATTCCCGGCCAAGCGCACGTACATGGGCTGCAGGCCCGATCCTCAGCCCTGGTCAGGGCGTGTGCAGGAGGCAGCCAATCAGTGTGTCTCTCTCACATCGATGTCTCTCTCTCTCTCTCTCCCTCCCTCTCTTCATTCCACTCTCNAGCGCACGTACATGGGCTGCAGGCCCGATCCTCAGCCCTGGTCAGGGCGTGTGCAGGAGGCAGCCAATCAGTGTGTCTCTCTCACATCGATGTCTCTCTCTCTCTCTCCCTCCCTCTCTTCATTCCACTCTCTCTAAAAATCTATGAAAAAAATATCCTTGGGTGAGGGTTAACAAAAAAAGGAAGAAAAAGCTCAGTCTCTACTTTCAGTGGGCCATGCGACCTAGTCCTTGAAACAGGAAGTGATTAAAAATTAAAAATCTACAAGGCTTGGATAAAGTGTGTTGCCGATCATTTCAAGTCACATTATTTTCACCTGCTCTGCTCCAAGGTTCCTCGTTGCGCCGTGATGCACATGGACTCTGCCTTTCCCATCTTTCTGTTCATAGATGAAGACACTGAATCAGAGAGTGTTGTTAGATCTCTGTAGTCACACAGCTGGACAGGGCCCAAGCTGGGGTTTGACGTTTGTCAGCCGGTGGTGCCATCTCCCCACCCCTGCCATTAGCCATGAGGTTGATGGTTAACCTCATGGCTGACGGCATGGTTGAAACAGAGACATTGGCTCTTCTGCCCTGCCAGGCCAGGATGCAGTGCCAAGTGCTCACCCGTGTGTGTGGCACAGGGCCTGTGCTTGTTGAATGAACAAGTGCAGGAAACCGCACCCCGGAGCACATCTGAGTGCAGGAGAGCAGAAGCCTGCAGGTGGACTATTAGGCATTGACTTTGCCAGGGGGCCTGGTGCTTTGCTGGCCTGTACAGATGGCGGCGACCACGCGGGGGAGTGCGCGTGGCCAGAGCAGGCGACTCCAGCTGAGATGAGCTTGCTGGCCACCACA